GGGGGGGGTTACCTTGGTTGCTGATTGGCTAATGGTTACACAAGCCACAAAAACATTATGACATCATGAAGTGGCCAAAATCTGATCAGCTCATTTTCAGACAGGTTTTTATAGAAATGGATCAAAAAGAGAGAGAATCTTTGTTCCTGAAACTTTCAGAGTCTCTTTCCACAGAGGGGACACATGTTTATAAAAGACATGAAAAAGTGGATTTTGCATAATAGGTGGCCTGAACATGTTTCACATCTTAAATGCCTTGTTTAAAACCTCCAACTTCAAATACCGGCTCTCAATAAGAAAAAAAATCCAATGTTGATTAACAGCTGGTGTCACGTCCTTTATATTGTTGAGCTGATTAAGTATGCGTGTGTCATATTTGAAAGGAAATCAGATTTGTAATTACTATCAATTTATTTTGGAGTCTTAGATCGCATCAGCCCCAATTCTGTATATGGCTTCATCTCCTGGATTTATTTTCTTAATACACATATTAAGATTGAATCAAATATGACAGCCTATTGAATTGCTTGTTTTCCATTCTGTTATCATGGTTGACTTTTTTAACACATTTTATTCCTAGAAATTATGAAATTATGTGCCAAATCTGGCAAAAATGAATAAATACAAAAATATAGATTATTTCTTTGAACAGGCATTCAGGATTCACCACAACGTACTACTTGTTTTGCATCGTGAGCTAAACGTTTAACACCTTTAGGAGTTTAGGTGCCGAAGAAGTTATAAAATGTGAGTTAAGATTCGTGGGTAAAACCACAACTTGTCATACCAAGAGTTGTAATCTCCCAGTGAATCGACTGAGCAAGGACACTCTCTGGCACTGGAATCTTTCTTTAAGGCTTCCGAGTTCCTGAGTATGCATGCTGTTACATACTGAAGGAGATCCCCAAATCTACTTTGAATGAGGGGGCCAGATTAGGTGCTAAATTCAATCCGAATGGGTAGAAAAGCACTCCTCCAATAGGTTATAATCTGGAATGGGGGTCCAACAGAAGAAGGTGCAGCTGATGTCACATGACGTGAATAAGCCTCCCAACGTGACTCTGCTTAAAGTCAGTATTCACCGCACCTCACAGGACTGAAGAGAGAAATGAACAGCTGTACTGAAAACAGCAAATGTACATTTTTGTATGGAATTTCCCTCTCATGCTGCTTAACCTTTCTGAATAAATGCCTCTCATAACGTTTAGAAATGACCCTTCAGAAGTCTTGATTTGTTAGTTCAAGAAGAAAGACCGTTTTGTTTCAGAACATAGGCTAATGGTGATGTGTATTGAAAGCAATACTGTTGGCATCAAAGTAAGGGTCTGAAAGGATCGGTATACAAGAGAACTTATTTCTGAATCCTGAAAGTATACTACCACACATGTTCCTTTAAGATGTACAAGAGTATTCTAACCATTTACATTGAATGTAGCACTCCTTTAAGGAGGGCCTAAAAACCTTTCTTTTAAAAAAACATTTTATTAAACGTGTGTTTTTAAGTATGTATTGTATGCCCCTTGTAGCACTTTGGGATTGCTTTTAGTAATGAAAGGTGCTTTACAAATCAAATGTATTATTATTATTATTATTATTAGTAGTAGTATTTATTTGTATTAAGATTGAAAGTGCTAATTCTTGAATTGATATAAAAGCACTTAATCCTGAAGAGCAATTATTCCTCGAGGTGTACTTTTTAAATTGTCCAGATTTTCTCCCCTCAATCCCAAACATGGTGAATACGGCAGTGACTACATCTGTCCACATGTGCTCCTTTCTGTGATACGAGGCAGCGGATAAAGAATCTGTCTCTGCAGCAGTGAGGGGTGTTATCTTTACCACACTGTAAACTTTGTCCTAGTGCCATTACTGCATTTTATGGTTTGTTGATCAGCCATGAGTTGAAGTAGGAACTAGCTTCAATTACAACTACGTTTTTCCCCCAAACTAAATTGGATTCAAAGAATTGCAGTTCATGTGCGTTAAACAACAGATGGACTGTGGTTCCATCTGGAGTAAAAAGGACCTCTGACTTTTATAAATCTTATTTTATTGATCATCTAAATACAGTTTAGGCACTTGTCTTCTCTTGTATTTAATTTGTCATTTGTTTTTGTCTGGTTGTGTTTTTGGAGAACCTGATTATGTCTTCAAGAATCGTTCTGAGATGAGTTGCATGGTTACTTGACTTTCACCTGGCCTTTGTCCAAAACACACACAATAAGTGTATTCATCCACAGCAACATGAGCAGCGGGATGTTCCAGATGATACATAATCTCTCATTTCACTTCCTCACAATACAACTTGTGTCCAATGCAGGATGGGTGGAGAACGCTCAAATGAAGCGACACAGGTGTTTGTAACCGATTAGATTTAGCCAGTTTCTAGCTGCGAGCTATTTGACATGACACAGTGTGTACAAGGCATTTCCCTTTTGAATCTAAATGAGAGGTTAAACTAATACAACATATATAAAAAAGTGAACATAGTTTGGTGAAGCAGAAATACTGTAGACGCATTTAAGAATGAGTGATTATACTTCAGTTAAATGTTGAGGTACTTCTACTTTACTTGAGGATGTCCACGTTTTGCCAATGCCACTTTTCAGAGGGGAAATACTGTACTCCAAAAATGTACTACTTTTCTGTCAATTGATTAATCAAGAAATGGTAAAGAGAAAACATGAATAATAATAATAATAATAATACATGGTATTTATATAGCAATTATCCTGGTGCTCATAAGCTTTATATCACATTTTACGTATGAGACTAACATGTGATTTAACCGGTGCTCCCCTGATCTGAAGATGAGCGCACTAAACCGCTGAGCCACAGGTGCCCCTTTAGTAGCCATTAGAAGCATGTACCGGAATAAATAAATACTGCATTGCAAACAAATGGTCCCATATATAACAACATACCGCATCTCTACATATATGCCAGCAATTCCATTCCAGTGTCTGTGGAATTACAACAGAGAAATGTTTTCAGTAGTTTATAGAATCAAATAAAAAACAAGTTTACTCAAACTAATACCTATAAAAAGTCAAACCAGAGAAACTGATGATTTTGTAGTGGTCTCTTCATTTTTTCCAGAGCTATATATTACGTTATTGGATTATTACTGATGCATTCATATGTAAATAGGATTTTAACTGTAGTTTCTTCAAGTTTAATCTAACAAAATGTAAATCTGAATTTTTCTCAGTTCCCTGTCATATAAATGACTAAAAGGCACATTATTAGAATTGAAAAGTAACGTACACAACACGTGTAACGTTAGTTACAGTCCCTTTCACAGCTGCAGCTCTGACCTTTTGCATACATCACAGAATCATCAGTGGATAGGGTCTCCAGTCCATAGTGCCCTTACATTCTAAACTAAGTTAACCTAAACTACAGCGGAGGGTTCTCTGTCCTGACAACACTTTAAAAACAACACTTTCCTCATAAATCTGAACATCAGCTATAGATATATATCCGCTCACGGAGGCCTACCTTGCACAGAGGCGCGCAGTGTCTCGTGCTGCCGGCCGCGTGGACACTACAGGTGCAGTCCGGTTTACACTCCACCATACAGAGCTGCTCCCCCGCGCCCTGCGATGCCTTGAAGACATACTTGGAGAGGCTTTTAGGCGACTTTGGTGAAAACATGTTCGGGCAGCTTTAATTCCGTTTACCTTATCTTCACCAATCAATGTCGCAGGGCAAAAGTCCGCAACGCGCGCGCTCCGGCCCGCGAGATAAGAGCGCAGCGCAGAGCCCGCGCGCACCCCTTAAAAAACCTCTTTTTTTTGGTGGTCACTTTGAGTGGGAGGTTTTTGATCAGAGGGAGTTAGAAAGGTTGTGGGGAAAGCACATGACTCCTGAGAGAACATATACACGGTTTGGAACGGTTTCACACTTCGGGAACACATTGAACAGGCCTTAAAGTGAAAGTTATAAAAACGTGTGAAGTTCTTTAGTGTACAACTAAGTTCGAATCAACTCAATTTGGTACTTGTGGGTTAGCTGTCGCCACTTTTTAAAGTTTTTTCCATACTCTCTAAATACGCACTCGAGGTTAGGGTTAAATTAAAAAGTGGAGACAGATAACCTACAAGTACCTTCAATTTATTTCAACAATGATAAAATGGCAAAACATCCACAATTCTCACCACTTTTATTATAGGGTGATGAGGTCTCACAATAAAAGCCAGTTTGCTTATTGATGGATTTTTCATATCCATTATCTATTCTATTCCCATGTATATTTTTTTCAATCAGCAGACTGTTACCTTGTAATAGGTTATTTCGATTACCTTAGACTCAAAACAAAATAAATAATTGTACTTTGTTAATCCGTAATAATTGCACAAACGAGTATATATTTACAAAATACATTTTATTTACTAAAAGCCTCTAGTATCACTGTAAATGATGCAACAACAGTCAAAGTGTACGTTTGTGGGGGAAAAGGGGACATCAAAGCAAACCAGGAGGTTTTTGAAAAGAAGATGCAAAGGAATGTAAAAACAAAAAGGACAAAAATCTTCATTTCTTTTTGTCTGAACTGGGGAATTCAAATTGTGGCACGCTGTAAAGAACATCTATCTTTGGTACCAATAAAAGCATTTCCTAAAACAAAAATCCGCCAGTTGAATGAGATGATTCCACTTGTATTAGTTCAAAGACTGCATAGAGATGAAGAAGGCACATAGTTGAGTATTTCACCAACATGCTGTTAAACATCCTTAACCTTTTCCTATCTCAAATATTCCTCTATGGTTTGGAACAAAGTCCTTCTCTTCTCTTTTACACAACAATGTTCTCTTCAAAAAGGAAAAGCGAGTAACACTGGTGTTTTGCTGGTTATAAAATCTTCCCTGTTCTCAAACATCCGGCAGGAGACAAACAGGAAATGCAAACCAGCAGAATCATCTCATCTGGCCTCGGCATGATTTATCTCCCATTTGAAAAGAAATGCTGTATTTTGGTACAGCAGGGCTAATATTTAGGACATGTGGAAGCAACAACAACTCCAAACTCTTTCTTCGGGTGAGTCTGTTCAGCGCTGTCGATCCCAGCGCCAGATGGAGGCGTCGTCACACACGGCGATCAATATGCTGCTGTCGCGGCTGAAGCTGGTCTGCCGGATGGCCGAGGTGCATTTGGGGAGGGTCAGTGTGATGCACCTGTAGAGCAGAGGGGAGGCGGGTTAGGGATTGGTGCTGTTAGATCAGATGATTCCACTAATGCAGCCTGGGGGAATCCAGAAGTGCCAATTTCAATGTATCCAATGCACGGTGTGCGGTCCTTATTCTGACGCTACATTACAAGATCTGCAGTCCAAACCGTTAAGTGGAGCTCGTAATGATTTGCAATGTGTTAAATTAGGACTAAGGTTATTTTAATAATAGATGTGTTATTGATCCCTTTATTTCATGAAATGTCTGAAGTTTTCAACCTCACAGGGTCTTCAAACTAATTGGTTTTGCAATTATTTTCGATTAGATGAAAAATAAAATGTATGAATCCCCAGAAAAGGTTTTGTCTGACCTGAAAAAGTCCATTCATTATTTAAATCAGTGCCACCGTTTTCCAACTTTGATGGGTTTAGAAAAAGAGACAAAATGAATGAATATATTCTCTCGGTGGAAATAAAACAAAATGATGAATAATGTTCCTCTGTAAAAGCTTAGCTAAAGTAAATAAGTAACCTTTAGCTAAGTTATTCTAGCTTTTTCATGTAGCAGTCAAGTATATACAAGATTACTTTATGAATCCCCGGGAACACATATTACGCCAGATTGCAAATAAATGATATAATAAATAGATAATGTAATGACATGTAGACACAAGTATACTGACACGATGGTGCCTTATTGAATAACAATCATTGAGGTAATACAAATATAAACCTCAATACAAAATAAGACAATTCTACAAGCGGTCAGACATTTGGTTTCTGTCCACACCCTGTATTCTGGAAAACATCTGTTAGTGAGCCTGAAAGCTTTTAGTGCAGGAAGTTAACATGGTGTCATCTTTTCACCACTTAGGTAGGAAACATGAGCAGCTCATTCACATTCTTGTGGATGTATCATCTTTGAGTGTCCTGGCTGTCGGTGAGGATTCAAATTCATTCCTGTTCTTACTTTGCTTTGTGAGGGTCTTCCACTTCCAGGTCCCACACATAGAGTTTCCCCACCTGGTTCCCCAGAGCCAGCATCTGCAAACCACATGGGAGTAAATATCAGCAACAGACTGAGACCCTATTTACACGGGAGCGTAAACGGACAAAATTCATTATCAAAAAAGTCTTCTAACGTGTCCGTTCAAACGCATTCGGCTCATTTAACGTGTCCGTTCACACGAGACCACTGGAGACGCTGTAGTACATATGCCGGGCCTGTAAGTGGCGCTGTACTTCTGCCACAAAATACACCAATAGCAGCAAAGAAGACCCCCGAGCATGGTTGCTCTTCTGTTTATTCTCCGCGGTGGATTTAGCAACATGTAGTTCATGTAGTTCTCCATGTCCACTTGTTGCTGGTGGTTGTGGTAGAGGAGCTGTAGATGTTGCACTAACATCTGTAGCAGTAGCAGTAGCTACTGAGCATGCTACAGCAGTGAGCAGCAGAGGTGGGGAGAGGCGGGGCTATGGCTTCATCGTTATCAGGAAATGATCGTATAGGGCGTACACACTGAGCCGTTCGGCCCCCCAGAGCGTTCCGTTAGCAGATCTATCCACCTTGGGACTAGGGCTGCAACAAACGACTAATTTGATAATCGATTAATGAGACGATTAATCCACTATTCGGACTATTACTGTATGCCTTGCACAATTTCTCAAACGCTCTTATTTAGCCATCAACTTTTAGGTTTAGCTTGAGGTTGTTTTAGGCATGTGGAAACTAACAATGAAGACAATAAAGATGAATACTTGATTCAAAAATACAAATATTATTAAATTAACTAAACAAATTGTGAACAAAATTAACATTGCTTTTTATTTGAATTAAATAAATAATATCTCACATCAAAAGAAACAACAATGTTTTAACAAATCGTATTAAATAATGTGATGACAGAACTGTAAACAGAATAGCTGAAACTTTAACAAACAAAAGAACTCAGTTACCTCTAATCATTAACCTTTGTTTTTATAAATGAGTTAACTCCGTGTGTTGCTGCTAGCATACATAACACCTGACGTGGAAACGTTACTGGTGGATGGGGCTACAGAGCTACTAGAAAGACAGTGGAACCCGGTGCATTCCTCCGTCTGGATGTGGAGCACTTTTGCTAAATGTTTAGACAAAATGCTCGTGTTACCGCCCTCACATGCTAAACTCTTATTGAACTTTTGGCAAGGAGCATTGTCCAGATGGAGACGGGTAAAGTGTAACCACACCTTGGAGCGCTTCTCTCCACCATCTCCGCAGTGTGTTGCTGCATGTAGCAGCTGCGTGTGTGTAAACTGCCCCGCCCCCTCGCACACAGACGGGGGAGAGAGATCTCGTCTGGATTGGAAAAGCTTGTAAAAACTACACCATAGACGCATTTTTGTTTTGTCTTTTT